ATAACTGTCTATTTTTCTTTTCATTTTTTTTAATAATTGAATGGACAAATACCATTTGTAAACTATCATGCTCCTTTTTTATGGATATATATTATCATGAATGTTTCGTGTTTATGTTATTGGGGATAAAATATTTTTCAGTGTTTCTACATACACAAAACTATTTTGCTAGGGAAGATTAAATTCTGAATATTGCTCAAAAACAATCAACATCGTCAGTAAACTATTTATTTTATTACAATATCCAACAGGGTTGCCCTTAATTACAGGATAAGGAAAGGAATATTACAAGAATTGGGAATTAACATAAATGATTATTCTTATCTATATACATATATAAACTTAAATCTAAATAAACACGAATTTAAACAGACACGGGTGCATCCTGAAAAAAAACTTAACATAAGAAAAGAAGGATGCATCCATTTCCGCCTCTAATAATTACTGCGCAAATTAATTTGACAGAAAGATACTTCTAATAGATGCAACAGAGCAATTAAGAATATCTATATCATCTTCAATGTTCGAATAGTTTAGGATAATTTGAAATAAAGACGATGCTTTGTATATGTTAGTTCTATGTGCTTGTTGATAGAATAGTTGATTTCTTCTGGAATTAACTCTAGGGACGTGAAAGTTTAACATTTCCAAACATGAAATACAATCCACCTTGTTATTTAATAACTTGAACAGAAATATCACTGAGTGAATTGCTCTTCTTTTTAAAAGACTACATGTATTGAAACGGTTTAAATAAAGAAGTTATCTTATGGGATAAGTATCATCACTTAAAAGACAAGCTGATTTAAAAAATCTTTGTTGAACTCTTTCCAAATGGTTAATGTGATTGGAGTATATCGGACTCCAAACGATACTGGCATATTCTAATTTTGACAAAACCAGCGAAGAGAAAAGTATTTTCATCGTTGAAAAGTCATTGAATAATCTCATATTCCTTATAACAAAACCTAAAATTCGATAAGCAGAAGCAGTTGCTTTTTCAATGTGCGATGTAATCGTTCATTTTGGATCAAAGAAAACCCCAAGATCTTTAATCAGTTCTGGTCGATTTAATGTAGAATTTTGTAGGTTGTGATTATATAATTTTTTAACATTTAACGGTAACTTATTTCTTTTGCACCATTCGTTTAAGCGGTTAAGATTCTCTTGAAGCAATAAACAATCATTATAACTAGAGATTTCATAAAAAAATTTTAGGTCATTGGCAAACAATAGATTTGTGACGCTCAAAGTACAAACAATATCATTAATACAAAGCAGAAATAATAAAGGCCCTAAAACCGAACCTTGCGGGACGCCGGATGTTTGAAATTCATTGATTTATGTCCTAAGCACTGAACATAAAAGTAACGATCTGATATATATGACTGTAAAACATTTAATAAGGAGCCATGAAAGTGCTGAAAGTTTACTTATAAGTTTGTGATCAATTCTATCGAATGCTTTAGAGAAGTCAGTATAAATAACATCAGCCTGACTTCTTCTATCCAAAACTTCAGAAATACAATGAGTTATACAGATTAAATTAGTTACAGTCGAGCGACCAGCAATAAAACCATGTTGGGTTGGCATAATGATTTGGTGAAACTGAAATGAAAGGAAAGTATGTACAAGTATTTCAAAAACTTTAGAGAAATTGTTCAGAATTGTGACAGGGCGATAGTTGGATATATCATTTTTGCTGTCATTTTTAAAGATTGGACTAACTCTAGCTAACTTCCACATCTCAGGAAATTGTTGAGTTTTAAAAATAAGGTTGAAATAATAGTAAGAGGTTTGCAAAATACCTGTGCACAGTCTCTCACCAGAAATGCCGGAACATTATCCGATCCACTTGTTGGCTTAGGTTTCAATTTTTTAGAGCAGTTAGTACTTCAGCTTCCGTTTCTTGGGTAATGTTAACTATATTGTTATAATTTTGGTATTCTAAAGAATCTTTAACAGTATTATCAATTGGTGTATAATTTCCTGAAAAAAATATTGCAAACGAATCCACTATATCTTTAGGTTAGTTTAAACGTTTGTTTTCGAAATTCATAGTGTTGGGTATCCTTGACAGATCACCCTTTCTGAAATTTATAAGTGACCAAAAAGTTTTAGGATCAGCCTTAATATTTTCTTCACAACATTTCACATAATTACAGTAAGCTAACTTAGTTTTAATTTCAGTTCTCAGTTGACTGTAAATAATATAATCTGAATTATATTTAGTAATCTTAAATGTTTTCCAAGCTTTACTTTTTAGTTTAATACTATTTATGAATTCAGAATTAAACCATTGAGGATAATGTTGGTTAGTTGGAGTCTTTTTTGGAACATGTTGGGCAAATATAGAGTTTAACTTATCGTAGAATGTGTTTAAGACTTCATCAACATTATAACTGCTATTTAGAAAAGACCAGTCTGTTTCTAATATTTTATAAAGATTTCGAAAAGCTGGTGAAAGCTTTTTGTGCCATCGAAAGGGTAGCTCAATAATTAGTGCTGGATGATAAGCATCTGCTGCTTTTTCTACTTTACAATCTTTTATATTAGAGAAAACAAGATCTAGTATTCGATTAAAATAATTTCGTACTTCATTGAATTGCAATAAACCGAAAAATCTTTGAAAATTATTTAGGGATAGCATTTTTCTAGTTAAATTTCTATGTTGTATATTCAGTAATGTTAAAGTCATTTGATGTATGGGGTGGAATATACAAGTTCAGGACATACAAGTATACGTTTTCGTACCTAATACTTACAGAAATCATATCAATGTTAAACAAGTCTTTTAGAAAATCATAACAACTTAAGTCATTTAAAGATGCATATAATTTTTTCCTTATAGCTAATAGAGAACCCCTGGTATTATTCGTCAAAGCATAACGTCTATCCGATCTAAAGACATCGTATTTTGTCGAATCAAGTATTTCATAGTTACTAATTAAATTACTCAGCCAAGTTTCGGTTAGAGCCACTATATCGTATTCATCGGAAATAGTAGAATTAATATAGATATCTTGTGTTTTAGTTCTCAAGCCTCTGACATTTTGATAGTAGCAATGAATTACGGGTATATGGGGAGATTCAGAAACAACTTTGGGCGCTGGTTGCTATATTGGTGACAATATATTAGTTTTAAATTTATCTAATGTCCGCTTATAAACAAAGCAGTTTTTAGTACTCAAAGCCTCATGATTTGCCGATATTGGATTATTTGAGCTTTTGTTAAAGTTATGGCAATTAATACAATATTTATTTGATTTGGGACATTGATTTAATTCATGGTTTTGGGTACATATGGGACAAATCACAATAGTTGACTTACAATGGTTTGCAGAATGGTGATATCCAGAACACTTAAAACATCGCCTTAAATCAATTGCATCATATACACTACAATAGTCATACCCTAAAAATAACTTGCCCTGTTGCATCACTTTGTTATAACTAGGAATATCGCATTGAACAATTGCTTGAAAGAGTTTGGTTTTTTTTTCAGTGGTGTACAAGCAATAAACTTGGAAGTCCCCAGAAATGACATTTTCGTTTTGGTCTTTTAAACACTTAACAAGTTCTTCATCTGTTAATTTCACGGACATTCCTACAATTTTAACGCGTGGATTTAATACTGGAACTTCTTTTATGGTATAGTTATCCATGAGTTTTTCATTTGCCAGTGTCACAAATTTATTACAATCCTCTGATTTTTGACAGCTGACTACCAGCCCACCATCTTTTACTTGAAGAAGTTTGCTTAAATTTATTTGAGACTCAATCGGGTTGATATTCTTATTCATATCATTTTTAGTAAGTGTAGAATCTTGTTTGATCTTAGGTTTAATAATATAAGAAGGCTGCTTCTGAAGTACTGTAAAATACGGAATTTTTGGCATCTTGGTTATCAATAGTCTGTGAGGATCTAGGAACGTTTGACTGATATTGCAGTTGAATCTGTTGACTAAATTCTGCTATAATTTCGTTTTTAAATGTAGACAATTCATTAATTTTTTCTTGAATTAACTCCTTAAGATCACTCAGTGATTGATTTATCGAACATAGCTGGTCATTATTATCTTTAATAATAATACCTTTTTCTAAAATTTCACATTTCTTTTTGCATATGTCACACAAGAAAAATAAATTCTTACTTTTAGACAGCATAGAAAACTCCACATTAATTAGTCCCGTACATGAGTAATGGAACCATTTAGAACAGACGCCTTCACATCCTACCAAACCTTTGTTTTTATTTATTTTACATTTACTGCATTTAGTAGAATCTCCCATAATAAATTAATCAATCTCCGCTACTGGTTCTTGATAATAAATGAACAGGTAGACATACTAAGCAAAAACGGATACTACTGTTTCAAGAGAATCGAATTTCTGATTTTACTAGTAGCCACAAAATGCACTCAAAGAACTATTTCAATTAATAAAATTGAAAAAAAAAAAATTACTCACATCGATTGCTGATATACATATTCACTACTGATCTTAAACTGAGAATTTTTACTAGAGTTTAATCCACTGAAAAACACTATAAAGTGGAGCTAACAAATAGATACAACCGTATGTTCTGTGCACCACTATTATTGTATTTTTGTATTTAAAGTAGCTAATATATTCTTTCTATATTGCAAGATCATAATTTATGGGTTTTATTTAGAGGTTAGGTACATAGTTTACATTTGTTTATTTTATAAGGTTGTCCATAATTTGATAACCTCTGAAATACAATATGCATGCTCAACTTTTACGTTACGAACATTTATAAATAGACTCTATTTTTATATCTTACGTTAAGTTTCTACGGCGTTAAGTTACGTTACGGTGGTTATAAATTATACTTTAGACTTTACTGCTTTTTTGCAAGCAAACTGTACCCGCTTCTTCAGCAATTTTAAATACGCTTTTAAAAAGTCACCATGATGTTGTTTATTGTTCAAATGGGTTAATCAAAAACTGTTTTAAAATAATGTTTATTTTTGTAGTTCCTGAAGACGTTAATACAAGGCTACGTCGAAAACGGTATGCAACAGGTGGCTGCAGAAGTAGCTGAGAGAACATTAAAGAACGCCACACAAACGGCGCTAAATGGTGGTAAAAAGAATGCATGATTAGTACGTTTTAAGAATACGCGTAAATTATTGAAAATTCCCAACGCTATCGCTTTGTTACATATATCGTTAAATTTAGAGGTGTCCTGTACCTAAATAAAAATCCTTAATATTTTAATTGGATTGTTGAGTCTTGCCATCGTCTTAAAATATTTTACTTGTACAGATTGTAGCCTTGTGTGTATGTATATATGTAACATTTATTTTATTATATTGTGATATCTTGGCAATGTTGGTATTAGAGTAAATCTTTTTATTTATTATTTTATATTAATATATGTTTTATTTAAAACGAACTTTCGTTTTCACATGACAAAAAAGACACAAAATATATGCATTTACATATCAATTTGTAGGCATGAAAAAGTTTTTAATAATTATTCTTAAATATTTCTATCTAATTTTTTTTTTATTTATACTAATCCAACATAATATGAAATAGTAAATTCAAATGCTGTACAGTAATGATTTCTCAGATTATCAACAAATATACAAGATGTTTCAAAGTTAAAAGCACAAAAAGTAGCGGCAGACAAATACCGAACTGATATGTTCCTATTTTCTCAATCGAGGCTTATTATAAACATGTCAAATTTTTTTTATTACTCGATTATGAATTAACCCGTTATATACTTATATAGGTACATAATTATCTTAGGAATAAATTTGAAAAGCCTTTAATGGGATATAAAAAGCAAAGCTAATAAAAACGAAATTTGTAACATGTACGTTCGAGGCAGGGTCAAATAAAAACTTTAAAAATGTGGGCTACCGTTAAATAGCGCACATCATATTTACATTTGCCGCTATTACAAGCGACTTTTATGTTTACCCGTAGTCTTTTGTTAATTTTTAAAGTTTGTCCGTGTATTTTGGAGTCACAAATTGATTTTAGAATTGGCAAATATTTTTTGAAACATATATCAAATGTATTTTAAATCATGAAAAATTGTATACTTAACATTGTGAATGATAAAAAAATTCTCAATTGTGGTATATACTGGCCGGTAATGACAGATTTTTTACAACGTTATTTTTGTTGTTAAATGCACAAGCGTTACGATATTTTTTTAAACATGCCCTTTTTTGTAATTACTTGAAACAATGATTTAACATTTAAAAAAGGATTTAATATGAAGTTTATATAGTTAATATTGTCAATATAAAGATTTTCATACAGTTCTGTCATGTAGCTTCATTTCGAAAACAATTTAAATTTTGCAAAAATTGCAGCCATTTTTGAACAATTATTTAAAGTATGCTACTTTGTCTTTCGTGAAATTAATAATAAAATGGCACGATTTAGCAATTTGCATACAATTTTGGTGTGTATAGATATGTGAATTTTTCAAAAGTTATATACAGAACATGAACTCTTAACAAGCTTGTTGGAAAATAATTCGTTTTGGTCATAATTCTTATTGAATTAATCTATTCAATCACAAATTTTGAAATTGAGATTGAATAAAAATGAAAAAACAATTAAATAAATTTTATCATTTATAAAAGTTAGACAGTGTATTTTTCAAATAATTAAATTTCTAATTATATAAAGGGATCTATCTACATTTTGTATTATTTGTTAGCTAAATGAAAAAGTCAGTAATATTAAAGGGAGAAGTAAGCTGTGTATTCGACAGAAAGATTTTCACTTATAATACCACTAGTGCCTAAATTATTTCCGGAAATTTTTTCGAACTCACGATAATTTTCTTAAAATATTCGGGCGTGAGCAAAAATATTCAGACAATTAAAATATAAGGTCAATGAAAGTGTCTTTTACATGATTTTAAAAAAATCAAATTTTTTACCGTCTGTGAAACGAGATATATCAAAATGTGCATAATTAACACTCTTGAAGCCTGTCATATACACAAGCAATGATATCTCGAAAACGGTTCTTACTATATTTTTTAAAAAGATATAGATTTTTAAAATAAAAATATTTTTAAAGAAGTCGACGCATAGTGGGATACAATGATTACAACTTGGCAACATTGTAATCGCTACACTTAACGCGCGGTAACTCAAATGTCTATTAGATTACTGTAGGCTTGTTTTGGTTCTTCGAAAACTAGTTCAGAATCACTGAATTACAATCGATCAGCTAAGAGATTATTATAACCTCGCGACGTGTTCTTGAAAAATTAATTCGTCCACTGTATTTGAGAGCTGGAATCGACGGTTCTGTTTGAACCAAAACAAACCCTTAAAATTAGTATGAGGAAGTCACAAATATTTATAGGCATACACACTCACTTGATAACCCACCATTCATATGTTTGCGACGTTGCCGGATGGATTTTACTTGAAATAATAACTGTATCCGAATATATAAACGTACGTGTTGTGTACAGTCTCTTACAAAAATAAAATTTTTTAGCATTGAGATTCTCGAACTTTTGGTATTCACCATTAGGTGATATTTTTGTGTATGACTGTCGCGAGTGAACTCTACCTTAATAAATATTTAGAGTTTTTAAATGGGAGGATATCCCAGGTTTTTCTCTTAAACGTCTCTGTAGAGTGCTGCCTTATCGTTGCACAAATTTAAAACTCTCCATATTCTAAAGATTAAGTATAATAGTAGGGTCTGTGAGATTCTATATATACTCTTGAAGCACTTAAAAAGAATAACACTCATTTTAAAACATACAAATTAATGATTTGTGTTTACTTTATTTTCTCAATTAGAAATATTCACATTCATATTTGCCACCTTGTTACGTATTGAAAAATAATAACGAAGCCACAGCTGATATAATTTAAAAACAATACAAACAATAACACTGGCAACACTAACATCAAATCTGCTTTACTAGTTGCCTACGTGCAACTGTGTATTTTAATGGCGCATGGATCATATATAATGAAACGAAACACATCATTGACGTGGAAAGAGAACTGGAAGTTTGAAGTTTATCTGTCATGTATCATATTGACGAGTATATCGGAATTGTATGCAAATTAATATACTTGAATATTCTTATGTAGCTTATCACTATTCCAAATAGCATTCGTTTAATGATTGTTCAACCTTATTTCAATTTTTATTGTACACTGTTGGAATCGTATGCTAAGTCGCTAAATCGTGATATTTTATCAAGAAGTTTACGAAAAACAAAATAGCCTACGTTTGTTAATTGTCTGAAGTGCATCAATTATTTTGCGATATTTTTTAGCGTATGTAAATAATTTAAACACTTCTGAAATGTGTGCAATTTTTTTTCGCGCATACATTAAATAATTGTTCCGAGTAATTACAAAAAAAGTTCATGTTTAAAAAATTATCGCAACGCATGTGCACACCGCGACTGTATGCAAAGTTACTTTTCGTGGTCCATTTAACAACAAAAATAAAGCTGTGAAAAATCATACGTTAAATAATTGTTCTTTTATACTTTTTCTTTTTAAATTAATAATTTCGGGGCTTCCTACAAGAAGGATGAGTATGCAGATTATTTGCCACTGGACACGTTTTTCAAATTTTAACAAAAAACAATTTGCTTGCATTTACTAATCGTTATAACTCATCAATTTTCAATACAAATTCAAATTTGCTTGGTGATGCCCTGCATGCGAGCACTCTTAGATAATTGGTCAAAACCTGTAATAATCATAACTTAAAAGATAAATACATTAAAAATCGTTGCAAAAATATGTCATAAATGACTAGTCTATTATTTGAAAGTAAATAAACGAAAAAGTGTTTCACTGTGACCCACCCTTCCATATATCAATTTTGGATTTAGTCCCTATTATGTTCTATGTACATACTCCGTATGGGGAGGATGAATACCCAAAATAAATTACTAAAGGAATGACATTTATTTGACAGATCTTAAATCTTAACTACTACTACTTTTATTGGAAAATTTAATGAATATGTTAATTTCAAAATCGTAAAATTTACCGCCTGTCAAAAATAATCGTATGAAAAACAATTCTATAAATTCATGTTTAATTTTAACATATCACAGTTAACTAAAATGTTCAACTTATTCCGCTAAAATCTATTCTATAAACAGAATTATTTTAAATTTTAAGTATTAAATGTTAGAAATTAAGTGGTCTCTTAATACTGCACTTCAAAATTTAACATATAAGAAGTTATTACTCTAATGGTCTAATTAATCTTGTAATTCAAGAAATTAGTTAAAAATGTGTGGTTAAAGTCTTTTGCAAGTAAATAAGTGTTTTGAACATTTAAAATTACACATTCTATATTTTATTTGTTAGATAGTAATTTATTCGTTGTAGAAGCTATTAGTAGGTTTCCTTTTATTTCTACTAAAAAAGTATGGCCTTCTAAATAATTTATAAAGTAATATTTTTGAAATTTGGACATTTTGTACATAAACAGACTTTAAAATTCAACCTTATCGATTCTTGTCTATTTAAACAACGCATTTAATTTTTACACTCATAATTTGTTAAAATCGTAAAATTTAACCCCAGGTAAAAATAAACAGTAAATAGAATTAAACCTAATGCCTCTATTTAATTGACATCGATCTCACACCAGTTGATGGGAGTTCCTCTAAAAGAGACACTCTTGTAGTCCAAAGAAAGGTCGCAAAGTAATCTAGACATAAGTGCCACATTGCATAACAAGGACTATACATTTTTTTTAAATTTGTTGATCAATTCAAACACTTGGTGGAGTAACAAATATTAGGTTGTTTTGTTCGCCGTTAGTACAGTGTCCACCAGTGTCAATTACACCACCTTATTTACCTAGTTTACTTCCCTCCTTATTCCTTAAACACCATGCCTATTTAATTGACATCGCTCTCACACCAGCTGGTGGGAGTTCCTCTAAACGAGCCACTCTTGCATTCCAAAGAAAGGTCGCAAAGTTATCTAGACATAAGTTCCATATTGCATAACAAGGAATATGCATTTTTTTAATTTGCTGGAGAAGAAAGTATCCACCAGTGGACACCACACCGCCGACCGAAAGGTGTAATGGATTTTACACCGTGCCAACCGAAAGATATTAGGTTTGTTCGAAGAGACAGTTTCCGACGGTTGGTCATACTTTTATAATGCGCATGCGCGATTTACAACGGTTTGGGGTTTATTGTCATGTATGTTCTGCGAACGCATTTTGTATGGTTATGGATTCTTCTCTACCTATTCTCGTGAGTTGGATACAGATTTAAGTGAACGGACAAAAAAACAAATTATTTGAAATTTGACGTTGTATGCAGTTGTATGTGTTATAGAATAACCAAGTATGTGTTTTGTTTACAGTTTTACTATATTCTAGGTATATAAAAAAATCCCAAGTCAAATATAAATTAACAGAAACCACAAACAACAAAAACTAGAAAAACAATTATTCAAATGGACGAATGATAAACACATAACTAGATATACATTTCAAGCCAAACAAATGTCAAATTGTAGGTTATTAAAGATATTTCATGTGCGCATGCCTCGGATTTAAAATCCGGAGAATAGTCAAAGATTTTTCCAACCGTTCCCAATCAGTTGGCAATCACTTTATTTGTTTCTACGAACGCCAAACTAACAATTGGAAACTATCAGTGATTTTTCAACGAACGCAAAATATTCAATGCGCATGCGCTGTTTAGTTGGACACGGCTGTGTATCGAACAAACCTATAGTGTCCGTCGGTGTAATTCATTCCTACACCAGTGGGATGCACGAAAGAACCTATTGTTGCTTCATTCTGCGATTGATATCACACCTTCTATGTGCAAAAAATTAATAACTTTGTTCCTAAAGCTATGTAGACACTATTTCTTTCAGTACATTGTTTACAATACACTTTTGATTTGACTCTGCCTCGTATATGTTACATTATGTTTTTATAAATTCACTTCTGTTAATTTGTATGACCAGATACATAAGTCTAAATCCATATGCTGGACACATTGGAATAATTTTACCGCATTGTAACTTTGAAACAGCCTTAAAACCAGTTTTAAAATAAATGAACAAAAAATATGTCAATTTTTAGGAATTAATACTGCACAGTTTGGTTTAAATCTTTTATGAGTACACAGAATATTTTAATTAAATAAAAATTAACTATTCTTAAGTTACGATTATTGTATTGTCTGTCACTTAACATCATCATAATAAAAATATAAATTATTTGGTCTTATTATGTAAAATTTATAATTGTTGTTATTTTGTACGTTATTTTTGTAAAATTATTTTTTTTTTCTAAAATAATTCGATCTCATAAACATTCGAAATATTGTTAAAATGTACTTACATTTTATGTGCGGTTAAAAAGCTGACAAAATTAATGTAAAAGTCAAAGTTTAAAAAATAGTAATGCAGTGCTTTATGATAAAACATACAGCTTAGGTAGAATCATGTATGTGTAATACGGATCTACTTTTGTTGTAATAGCACTGTTATACTTCCAGTGGTTGTTGGCTTTTACCTATCAAAGAATATATTGTGGTTTTCATAAAGATAGATTATTAACACTAACCAAAATACTCGTTTCATTTAAGAATTAACAATGTTTAAAATTTAAAAACCTTTTATCTTATAACCAACATTTCTTGCAAATTAATTTTACTAGCATTTAATTATGGGTTTTAATTAAACATGTGTTACATAAAGGCAGCGGGATAATGTATATAACATTGCATACTTTTATTTTGAAAAATTAATCTTCTTTATGCAACGTCTTCAACATATGGAAGCGAGAACAGACATCACGAGGTATATGGCTCGAATTACTTACAAGATGTCGGCATTTACGTAGAATAATAAAAAAAAAATGTTACTAAAGTAAACCAGAGATAGGAGCCATCTCCGTGATAACTACGCACGGCTCTGAATTAAATTCGTACTGACACTTAAAAAAAGAATTGAACGCTTGACATAAGTGCATTTTTTTAAAGGGTACTTCAGAAACAATTTTTATTACTATCACAGACATGACCGTTAACTATTATATGTGAATGCGGACTAGCATTGACGCTACAATTTGTTTCATCGCCATCTTCAGAGTTTAACGACAGGATTTAAGACACTTATACAGTGAGCATCATAAGTCTTACCCCTCTAACTCGTTACTGGAGTCTTGTTAGGAAAATCGCCGAAACACGTCGATTTTTGATTTCTACAATGTACATTTTTGTATGAATAGTTTACCCTTAATTTCATCCCTTACTGGAGGGGAGCAACCCTTTCGAAAAATTTAAATGGCATGGGGTGGTGAGTGATAGCTCATTTCAAAGGGGGTTTTATTCTCTATTCAACCGTGCAAAAAAAATTAAATTTGCTACATTACGTGTTGATTTATTAATGTTTAAAAATAACAAAACATCACAAATAGGAAAGCAACTTAAATAACAGTGACCTTATCTAATGGCAAAAAGACTAACTTCACGTCTGAACCAAAACCGATATTGCAGGGCCGAATTTTAATTCTAAGGATGAGTGCGCTACGTTAATTTCCGTTATTCTGAAACCATAATTAGTCGAGAATTAATGAAGCAAATTTCAAAATTTTTTGCACGATTGAATAGAGAATAAAACCCCCTTTCAAATGAGTTATCACTCACCACCCCATGCCATTTAAATTTTTCGAAAGGTAAACTATTCATACAAAAATGTACATTGTAGAAATCAAAAATCGACGTGTTTCAGCGATTTTCCTAACAAGACTCCAGTAACGAGTTAGATAGGGGGGTAAGACTTATGATGCTCACTGTATAGCTTGTAAAAATAAAAATATGAGGTGTTTAGGCCGCATATGTTATTCGAAGAAAATTAATATCTTTAAAATCTCTAACTAGTAAAGTATACTGGATTTCATGTTGGCTTTTTCGCAAAAAAATTCTTAACCCATTTTCTTTTACGGTGTTTTTGTAGTACTTTAAGCTTCATAAAATGTGGAGCTAATAACACCTATAACTTTTTTTTGTTTTGTTTTGAAGTAAACATAATACAACATATTGACCCTGACAGTAATACTCTTCAGAGTTTCCTGTACAAAGGCCGTGGTTACCGACACAGAAGTAAGTTAACATCGCACTATTTAAGTCATTCTCTAGAGTTCAAGGTGGTTCCGGTGTTGTACTGGAATTTACAGATGGACAGTAGCAGATCCATAACTGTTATGTCCATTTACGAATTTGTTACTACCCATCTCTAAGTTCACGCGATATAACCGAACTTCGATTTTCATTCAAGGACGACTCAGCCAAGTCCGACTCAGCAGAGATCTGTTTAAAAATAGGGACTTAAGGGCTAGTTTTTCAATCAAAGTTTAAACTGAGTTCAGTAAATGAACTGGGTTTGATTAAATGATGGTGTATTTTAAATGTAGTTCACGTCTGAATTTAATTTAAACTATCCCAAAAATGTAACCGTCAAAGTTGGGCGTTTAAACAGATCAATGTTTTGACATTGACATAATATGAGTATATTTCCCAATTTTTTTATATATAATGTTCGAAGTAATAAGTAAAGACCATGGTGAAATTGCTGCCTACCTAATGAATTGAAAATCCGATATTATAAATATATTTTTTATTCTAGAAACTCGGTAAAGTCACTATTCGCTTTTTCCATTGGAGTCTTCTTTGTTTACTACCGGCTACTTTTGTAGAGTACAACAAGCAAAATTTACCAACAATTCGTCGTTGCTCCAAAAATTGGCGTCCGTCAGTTTTTACCATTTAGGACAATTTTTCATCTTCACTTTTAATAATTATGTTATTAAAAAACGTCAAACTGACATAGAGCATTTGGTTTTGTCAGAAGTTCCTCGATTCAGAACTTCCAAATTAAATTAAATTCAGATCACCTAAACTATGATATTGACATAATTGAAAAACGCTATTGATGGTAATCTTCTATATTTGATCCAAGTTCAGGTAAACGTAAGTTTAAACTGTGATTGAAAAACTGACACTAAGTTATCCACCTGCATACAGTGCGAGCCATGAGTATCCTAGCGAACCACATGCCTTGCCTTGTCTGTTCTCGTGTTTCGTTAAAATGAATATATTTCTTTGTTTTCTTTAATTATTTATAAACTCAAGCAAACGAAAATATTTTGGGAATGTATACATTTTTGTGAAAATTTGTTGTTTAATTTACGAGGTATTTTTTAGATCTTTGTAGTTTCTTGGTATGTTTTTTATCTAGAGTACCGAAAATCCATGGTGATAATTTTTGTTT